TGGGACCACCTCGTTCTTGAGCACATCCAGGACCAGGCCTTGGAACTCATCTCTCTCTGCTGTGATAGAGTCCTGTGGGATTACATACAATAAACCATAGTTGGCACACAGTACATTTAACATAGAGAGTTCAAGTTAACTTGCAATCAATGTCCATACCATTATCACAGCCATTTCCTGGAGAAGTGAGTGCTTCAGGGCATTTTTCCGTATGAAATTATGCAGGAACTTCTTGAAATCCTTCTGTGCTTTATCTCCCCTCGCTATCTCCTCCTCTTCTTCAGCTATGGGATCAATGGCCAGAAGACCACTAACACGGAGTGTCAGGAGATCAAGGATGAAATCCTTCGCTTTACTCTCCTCGTACTTCCCTGCCACCGACTGAAGAAAGTCGTTTATAAAGTAGTGGGAGTGGGCTCCTGAGAATCTGGTGGCAGTAGAGTTGACTTAACTGGCACATGATTTTCTTGTATGCACATTATCTTAGGACCGATTGTAATTGCATCATTGCATTTGTGTATTTTACTGCTTCACTGCAAATTTAGCACTCACAGTATATACCCTATTTGTCACACTGACTAGTCAGCATCAAACACATGCATAATTCATACGACATGTGTAACACACACCTTATCATGCGCACATCACATAGATTCACGTATGCAAAGCCTTCATTAAAGTAAGTGTACCAAGGAATGTGATCTATACCTTTCTGAAACTCCTCTAAAGAACTCAGCCCATGTACCATCAGATATTCTAACGCCTTTGGGCACATTGTACTGGTTGAGATAGTCCTCCAGGAACTTGGATGGCCAGATCATAAAGGCAGTATACAGCGGGAAAAATCTCTGGATTGGCAACCGTGAAAAGTTCTCTTTTGTGTTGGTAATTACCTGGGAAAATAATAAAGGACATGTAGCCTAGAATTTCATCATAAATAGTCTGCTCACAATGTTTCTGATTTCCCTTTGAAAGTGTTTCACCACACCTTTCTCCTTTCCTTTCACAACAAACTGCTTAAGATGGACATTCGCCTGATGTGCAGTCACGTCAATTAGCTGCAGCAAGAGCTGCAGCCACTTCCAGAGCTCAGCCTTTATCTGGGACACAGCTATCTCTGACTGCTTGACCTTTTGTTGGGCTGCATTGGTCTGAGATTTTGACTCCAAATCTATGATCTTTCGATGGGTACAGATATCAACGATGGTGTTCAGGAAATTAAGGCCCTGTCATGAAACACGTATGGTAACATTAAAAACAGTTTTTGTTCTTCAGAACAAATATTCCCCACCCAGGAAGACACTTCAAGTGGCTCTCATCCCTCAAAAATTTACAACACACACGTATACCGTACACAACATGTGATGCGCCTCAAAAATAAACACAATGAAAAGCACTGAAGTGCAAACCCTCGGCGAACTGTGACGTACGCAGAATCGTAAGTAAACGCATGCGCCGTACCACTAATTGATGGGCTGGGTTTAGCTTTAGCTGTTACGCGTGGTCTCTTGCCAGCTCACGCAGAGTCTGACGCGGTCTAACTACACTACTAGATAGCATGCGAGAGGGGATACACGCCCTGCGTGCATCTTCTGGTGACTCCGAGGTACGCAGAGCACGCGGTCGATCATGCGTAGTAAGCCGTTGTGTATTTGCATATTGGCTTTTTCGCGCTCTAGCTTTGCAACGGAGCGTTTTCAGAGAAAACCGTTCGAAATTTCTGACCTTCATTGCCCGTTCAGTAGGTGGTATCCTTTGTGAGACGAACAAACACCCGAGAAGTGAGATTGAGAGTAACAGACACACAGACCCAAGTACTGTAACCCTCGCTGCGCATGCGCGCCGAGGGTTAATAACACAACATATGCGACAAGGGAATGATAAAAGTAGTGCACTATTATTATACCTCAGTCAATGTCCCAGTTAGAGTTCCTGTTTCAGTGAAAAGGCTATAGCGTGGAGTATGTCCAGGCTTCACACATTGGTCATACGCACTACGTAAATAGGTCAGAATGATAGGAAAATCTTCCTTGCTCAGGCTCGTGTGCAGCTCAGTGAAAAAATGACTGCAGAATGGGAAAATGTAAAATATTTTTAGGTGTGTGTCATAAAATTAACCTCAGGTGAGTGAAATAGCGAACAGTTACAGTGGAGGAAGGAGCAGGTGGAACAAGCATCTCTTGCATAAGTACAGTGTTGAATCTCAGTTCTCGAGGAAGATCAAGTGCCTTTCCGAAGAGGAGGCCATTCTTGAGGCATTCAATTTGGAAAATATTCATCGAAAGAAGGTGACTCCTGCTGGTCAGCTGGTCTTTCCACATCTTCAAATTACCTTCAGTTACGCTTCCTCTATGGGACCTCACTTTCAGTGACAAGGACACTGAAACATTTTGAAGGTGAAATGATGTGCAAAAACACAGACATATTAGACTAACCCCAGAGCATTGTGTTGATGATAAACCTCTTGTGGAGCTGGGAAGAAGGTGGCTTCTTATGAGTGTGCTGTGCTTGGCGAGAAGTAAAAGAGATTTTGCACAGATGAATGCAGGCCTCTTCAAGCAGTCGAAAGACACTAGAATTGGCTTTGGCGTCACCAAACATGATGGTGAAATCTCCAGCCCTGGTTAGAGAGGTTAACCATCGTCATTGTGCAAAAGTTTCAAGGAGCAAATGATTGTACTTTGAGTGCTTCGTGGAAACAATTATGTAGCTATAAGGGTCTGGTCAGGAGTGCTGGCCTATTGCACTGGATAATGGAAAACTAGAGGTGATTGATTTGCAAATGCTGCAACCACATACAAAATACACACACCCCAGAAACTTGGTGAGAGTAGTAGCAATAGGTGTATATGTGTTGACAGTTTCAATCTTGTTGATGCATGTCATCATGAAATTTTGACAATCTTCATAACTGTACATGGTAGTCATCTTTCTGTAATAAAAAAATTTATCATCATCTTCATGTGTGTTATGCCAACTCACTTATGGAGTCTGTATGCCAGTACAATGTAGAATGGAAAATCTTCATAAATTAGAGAATGCATGTGTTTGTGAAGCTTTTTCAGAGCATCCTTTACTTGGCTCTGGTCTGGCTTTCCCTAAAAAGTAATTATGCAAAAATGTTTTTAATTATACTATATACCTCGTGAATACCGCCATAATTTCACTAGAGTATATTACTATGTTTTTCGGGCAAAATCGCCAAACCTAATGGCCACTGTTTTACAGTAATAATGCATCTTTATACAAAGGTATTATGGACTAAAGGGAGACATACCAAAACTTCATAATTTTGGAAGACAGACATACAAAGACAGAATTTGCCACTGTCTTCACTCATCGGAATTGGAGTATCACCAGAAAACATTAGCTTGTTCAGTTCATTTTTCATTTTCCTGAACCCTGCATTGACCAATGCAAGTGAGTGTACTAGCTATAATACCATAATGTGCCTCAAGCACAGAATGTATACAGACTAACAGCATTGTTCCCGACATTTTCAACCTTTGGGGTGCTAAACTGACTGACAGACTCTAGCTATAAAAGTCCACCACGTCCCACCTGAAGTTTTGCTCTCATGAGTGCCACCAGCTCCTCTCGGCCCCCCAGCTCTAGGCTGATCGGTAACAACTAATGAGTGGCCTGGTGGCTGACGATGAGGCACGGCATCGACTGCACTCTCAGCCTCAATATCACACAGAACATCCTCCTCTTTGTGCTCCATGAGGGACAAAATTTCCCGACCGTCCGATTGACTCACAATCAACACGGGATAGTTGCTCCCCTCGTACCCCTCCAGGTACGCAGGCTCAAGTATCAGACCGTCTGTGGTGTTGACTACAATGACGGCCTTGGTGAGCTTGTTTTGGCGATGCCCGGCAACCACCTCGGTGAGTTTCTGAGACGGGCTCCAGTCTGTGTACGGCCACGTGGTCTCCCTGGACTCCCTCGTCGTCTACCACCAGAACCTTCCTCTGGACTGGGTTGATGGTGTCCGTCCCGGGAGCCAGGGCATAGCTGAAGGCCTTCAACAGCGGTTTAGAGTGTGTCTTCAACTGCAGACCTGAGGATGGCCATACAATACAAACATAGATGAGGTTCGCTGTAGATCATATAAACCTGTGCTTCTCTAAAGTATATCATACTTCTAAGTAGACTTTGAAATGAGGCCATAAGCGGTAATGGTGGATTATATTGAGTTTGCACATAGTTTGTACCGTCACGCATTTCTCAACAACTTGGTAGCGAGGTAGAACGGCAAGGCAAGGCAAACAAGTCAAATACACTCAGGACAGCTGTTTCTGAAGAAGAGTTGCCCTGGGTGAGATTCGAACCCACAACACTCTGCAGTCTATCTACCAACTGAGCTACCAGGGCAACCCAGCTGGTAGGGTTCGAATCTACAACACAACACAACACAAAGGCACACCTCAAACCACTGTGCTATGGCACAGTACACTCTCACTCAGTATGTAGGAGCAGACTGGGGTAATTAAACCACCAATGATGCACAACTCCAAACCGAGTATATGCATGTCTCAAAAACTTCGTAGCAAGGTATATAGAAAGGCAAGGCAAGGCAAACAAGTCAACTACACATATCGTACTTTCCAGATTGACTTGCATCGTTTGTCCACATGCTACTACACACAAAATGAAAGGCACTGAAGTGCAAACCCTCGGCGCTGTGATAATAGTGAACACACACGCACAATTATGTAAAGTAATGGGTGGGGCAATGGTATCAACAGGTCTGGTAGAATTGTTGTACTTACTGGTGCTGTATTTAGGTTCATAGACAAGATTATTCTTTCCTCCCAAGCCTAACCTAGTGAGCAAAACGCCTTAGTTGGAGGCATACTTACTGAACTCAACCGTCTTCTCTTTCTAGTCTCACAGGGGGGAAAATGGCTGCTGGCCACGTGGTCCCAATCAGCGTGCGCCGCTTTGGCCGCCTACCGCCTCGGAGTCGCGTGCGTTTTGTGTATATGCACCTGCGCATTGTTAAAATGGCCGCCTTTGCCGTACCGTACAAACAGGAAAACGCTCTAGCTCTGCAACGAAGCAGTTTCAGAGAAAATCCCACATATTTTCTGACCTCCGTCGGCCGCTGGGTATGTAAACCCGTTTTGGACGCGATCTATGACTGGAGAAGTGAGTTCTCACTTAACTGACAGAATGAATGACTGAATGATACACACGATAACTACAGTAATAGTATACTATGTAACAGCCAATACATTTGATCCATAGAGAATTTAACTATTTCACCGTAATACCCTTGGAAAATTGAAATACCCCCCGAAAATTTAAATTCCCCAGAATATCGACCAATCAAATCAAGTGACTAGGAAATCAATGTGAAATACTTCATACAAGTTACAGCTCTAGAAACAAGTGTCGCGAAAGATCTTGTGAGCATGACTATAGCTAATCTATATAACACACTGATCACTATACACAGCACTATACTATTAACATGTGATAGTGCAGTTTGGTGTGGTATTAGGGGATTAATAGGGATGGAATTTTTAAAAATAGTATTCGGCTTCGCCTCATACTATTTCGAAAAATTCCATCCCTATTAATCCCTAATACCACACCAAACTGCACTATTACCTATACTAATAGTATACTATGTAACAGCCAATACATTTGATCCATAGAGAATTAACTATTTCATTCACACCGTAATAACCTCTTGGAAAATTGAAATACCCCCGAAAAGTTAAATCAGAAAAATCGACCAATCAAATCAAGTGACTAGGAAATCAATGTGAATACTTCATACAAGTTACAGCTCCAGAAACAAGTGTCGCGAAAGATCTTGTGAGCATGACTATAGCTAATCTATATAACACACTGATCACTATACACAGCACTATACTATTAACATGTGATAGTGCAGTTGGTGTGGTATTAGGGGATTAATAGGATGGAATTTAACAAATAGTATTCGGCTTCGCCTCATACTATTTTGAAAAATGCCATCCCTATTAATCCCTTATACCACACCAAACTGCACTATTACCTATACTAACCTTCGCTGCGCATGCACGCCGAGGGTTAATCATGTGTAACACAATTGCTTTGATAACGCACATACATGGGTCAAAATACCACACAATACTGGCATGTATGTTATGAGTGCACAAGTGCGTGAATGGTTTGTAGAATGGGCCATTGCCAATATACTTCCCTCAATAGTTTCACACCTATGTTAGGCCCCTGAGGAATTATGTAGATTATTAGATTCATGATATTCCCAAGAGAAAGAATGAGAAGGGCAATTCATATTGCATTCCATGACACAACAGTAGTACACCCCCTTTTCGGATAATATTTCTACCCCCATTAAAGAGCCTTCATTCAAGGCCTGACAATGCCCTCTTTCATCAGACAGCAAGTCAAGAAACAAACCTATGTACAATTATACGTACCATTCAGTACAGGTTCCACTGTCTTAGGCTCCTCTGTGAAAGCCGTCTCCATTTCTTTAGGAGGAGGTGGAGGCTGGCTGGTCGCAGGAGGGTGAGGAGGGTCAGTGTCCATTGGTTCCTCCTGCTGTCCCTGCTGCACAGGGGAGGCTCGAGAAGGAGGGGTGAGCCGCTGTTGACGGGTTTCCTGAGGGGGCGGGGCCGGGACTATCTTCCCCCCCGTTTCGTCTGTCTTTGTCCCCGGAGACGCGATCCCCGGCTCAGCGGCCGGGGTTGCTGCGTCAAGCTGCTGAGGAGGAGGTGGTCGCTCGCTCATTGACGACCTCGGAAATAAACCTGTACATCACCACAACATGGTAATCTATTGCAACTGTGCAGTGCATGCACGAGTCGTACCTTAGGTAAATCTTTATACTCAGGGACGATCAGGATTTAGAGAGGTTGCTGACAAGACGACAATGCTGTGTCACGTCGAGACCGACCCACCCACCACGCACATAATTGATCGAAGGGATTTTCCCTTGTTGTAGCGGTCCTGTTCCAATTCAAGGTCCGTGGGTATGGAACAAGTTTTAGCACCTATGGTGCGCTTTATCAAGAATCATATACACGAGGGTGACAATGGGAGAACGTTTGGGAGACGCCGAAAAACGCTATTACGGACGAATAGTAGACCTTCTGAACGACAGAGAGGATGAAGAAGAGGCAGAGGGCACATTCACGCATAACGTGCTACAGCAGATTCAAGCTGACGGTGTGTCGAGGGTGTTTTGCGACAAGGACGGTAGCCGAGCCGTGGAGCGACTTCTGCAAGTCTGCGAGTGCGACGCCTCGGGTCTCAGGGACCTCATTGAGCCTTTAGCGTCCGATTTCCGTAGCGTGGCCGAGGACCGGTGCGGTAGTCACTCCACTGAGGCCCTTCTCAAGGCAGTAGGTAGGCAGGTGAACGGCGGGAGTAGTGATGGGGAATACAAGACCCTTGAAACACTCTTTCTCCAAGTGTTCGACAATATAAAATCTTCTCTTTGTGAACTCTTGACCCACCCTTATGCCAGTCATGTGGTGTGTACAGCGGTGCAGGTCTTGTCAGGTGTTTATGTGGCTGAGCGTCTCACGAGAAGTCGATATTCGCGAGAGTTTCGAAAAGCCAAACTGCAGCCCGAGAGTCAACCGCAGACTGGGGCAGTGGTGGAGAGATGTGTTTCAGTCCCCCAAACCTTCACGACCGCACTAAACAGTCTGAGTAGGTGTGTGTGTAAGCTCGAGAACTTCCCTGCACTGCTTGTCGATGCTCGAGCCAGCCCGGTGCTACAAGTACTGCTTCGGGTTTTGACCGAGCGCTACCTAAACGCGGGACCAAGATGGTTCAGAGAGTAGTCAGGAGCATCGAGGAAGGCCTTGAAGACTCAGATACGGAGGAACTGTCCGCGGTGTTCACCAGCAGTGTGGGGAGTCATTTGGTTGGCGTGTTGCTGGAGGTGGCGACGGCCGATCTCCACCAGTGGATCTGGGAGACCTGTTTCCAGGGAAAGGTTCTGAGCTTTGCCATCCATCCGGTAGCTAATTACCCCCTGCAGCAGTTCATCTCCGTCTCTGACCCTGCTCAGGTTCGCTAGTAATTGCCGTGAGTGCTGCTATGAGTGTCAATATGGTCCTTGTACGTATGGCTGAAAACTTGTTAAAATAGAGAAAACATTTGTCAAATAATGCTGAACTTGTGAGTTCATGGGTTGCTTAGAAGTGAGGCTGAGACCTATCTTTGCAGTTGCTTATAGGTCTCAGCCTCAATTCACAAGAGTTTTCTATATACCTATCGAACGTTCGCTGTGGTAAATTGCAGGGGTGATGTTTTCTTTCTTCTCAGGCAGGTCTGGTGTTGACAGAGCTACTCCTGCACCTGGAGGACGTGTTGTTTGCAGGTCACAGTGGAGTGGTAGTCAAGATGGCCGAGCTGTGCCTGCGGAGCACTGACCAGCAGTCCGAGATGATGAAGACACTGCTGGTCGCCTTCCACGCCCAAGACGACCCCAATACCTGCATCCCGTTGTTTCTCATGCTCACCGCGTACGAGGCGTACTTAGAACACGAGAAAAAGAGGGAGACTGACAAAGAGATACAAAGAGTCAGTAATTTCGTCCATCGTACTCTTTGATTGTTGCTGTGTTGATTTTTTGTTCGACAGAGAAGTGTGCATGTGCAGGGCTCGCTGCTGGTCCAGGCTCTTTTCAAGTACGAGAACCCGCGAGTTGTCGTTAGGAGTTTGCTGGGCATGGAGACAGACGATCTCATGTGGTTATCATGTGACGTTGCCGGCAGTCATGCCGTCGATGCATTCCTAAGTAGTTCCACTGTTAAATCTGTCAAGAAGAAAAAGCTTGTTGAGAAGATTAGGGTAAGGTGTCATTATCAGTAGCATATATAAGCCTAATGCTATATGCCTCTCTCTTTGCAGCCACAGCTTGTTCCACTCTGTAAGGACAAACATGGCAGTCGTGTGATGGACGCACTCTGGAGAAGTAGTGAAGTCACCGTGAAAGAGAGCCTTACCGAACAGCTTATCGCCCACGAAGCAGAACTAACTGAGGATTTCTATGGACGGATAGTCATGAGGAACTGCAATGTAGCTCACTACAGGA